ATTCAACTAGAACAGTAAAGAAGAGAGCGAAGTTTTAGAGTCAAATTAATCAGGTTTATCCAACACCTGTCTTTCAGAGTTGCTGTAAGGCTTTAAAAAACTATTCATACAAGAGCTTTGTGCTTACTGCCCTGTCAACAAACAAGGTTCTTGGGCACAGCACTGTTTACAAACATTTTTTCTTGTATCATATTACCTCTTCAGGTTTTTAATTGTTCTCTGCAAGTTTTTTAATTGTTCTCAGGTTTTTTCATAAACCACCTTAAAAAGTAACTCTTCCTAATTGATGTCTCTAATTAATGTCACTAATAATTTTGATAAATGAAATGAAGCTAACCTCTAAATTCCCACAGTATGATGTATATATAATTTTAACATAGATCATATATATTAAAATAATTATTTCCTACTCTGTCATTAGAAATTCAAAGTATTTTTCTAGACCCTTCTATCTAGTAGATGCATATTTTATTTCTATAACCAACAGAATATTCAATTTAAGAGTAATTTATACTCACAAATAAGTTTTGTGGTCAGTAGATTCACTAACCTAGGTGTCCAATTACAAAGAAGCATTTTACCAAAAGATTTTTATTAGCCTTAACAGTCAGTTCTAGCTATAATTTTATTTGTTGGTTGCTTACACTTTACCAACGGTTTCCTTTTTTGTGGCTTTCGGACTTTTATCCATGGATTTTTGTAGTGTCTTCTAGTGCAGTATAAGGGGAAAAAATCCCCTGTCAACTACCCTGTACACAAATCTTTTAACTGTGCCTTTCAGTATCTTGGTCCTTCTCTTCTGAATGTACTGGTTTTTCAGACCCAATTTTACAATGTGTTCCTGGAACTAAAAATGCTATTTTAATAGGGTCTATTGTTTTTATTAGTCAGGAAAGTAAAGATCATAGCCCAGAAGTGATTAGGGTTTGAACCTAGTGATACAACCTCTGAAGCCCTAGGTTATCCTCACTGAGGCCAGAGTGGCTGCACTTAATTTTGACGAGATAAACACACACAGGCAGACTCAACCTTGCCTTCTTCTTAATTTCACCAACTGTTGCTCTAGATAATATAACTTGTGTGCCTAGTTATGTAGTCTGAGTGTGAATTATTGGTCTTTCTTCTTGAAAGCAACCATGACTGTTCTTGGATCACAGAGTCTACAGGAACAGAGCAATGTGTGAAATAAATAACCAATTTTGCTTAAAGCATTTATTTTTGTAACAGGATCTCACTAGGTACCCAAGCTGGCCTTGTACCCACTATCTTCCTGCCTCAGCCTCCCAATTACTGGGATTATCTGCCTACCCCACCACACCTTGCTTTGCTCTAAATTTTAAATATCAAACACTGTCATAAATTTGATTGTTACAGAAGCAGGGGAATGAGGTTCACTTAATAATAAGGAAAGAGTGAACCCTGTGGTTATGTAATAATTTAGAAGTTGAGAGTTCGATATAAATTCTTCTAACTTTTTAAATAAGGAGTTTATTTAAGTTTTCTAGTAAATGCCAAATTATTTATGAATAAGATCTCCATCAACTTGAATCCCTCTTGTACAAACTTGCATTTTCCCATAGTTTGGAAGTTCTTATACCCAGAAAGTACAATCACATATGTATAACTATACAACATAATCTGGCTGTATATTATTAGTTAGTGATTTGAAAATGCTATATATTTTACCAACTTTAAAAAATATCCACACTACCTTTTCAATAGAGCAATTAAGAATTAACTAACTTCGTTATTAAACTTACACAAAAATGATTCTTGCATGTGTGGTTGAAAGTTTGCATGAACCTCAGAAGGGAAACCTAACCCTGGTGCTTGCCTAGGAATAACTAGGCCTCTAGAAGGAGCTAATTATAGCTATAGAAATGAGTGGTGTTTGAGTTTAATCTAGTCTGAGGCCTATTCTCACCTATCCAATGTAGAAGGGGCTCAGTATAGGCACCCAATAACCACCCAGTGACACCAAGTTTACTAAGAGTCTTACACAGTGAGAAGACATATTCAACCTGACTTTGTGGTAAGATCTGGATGTGAATCCTAGCTCCACCATAAACAGATATGGGAATTCAGGCACATTTTTTAACCTCTCTAAACCTTAGCTTCATATTCTATAAAGAAGATTAAATTAGCACATACCAGGCTTAACACAGTGCTTGTCATCTTAAGTATTGATAATAGATATGAATTGTTATTATCATTGTCATTATAATTATCTTTATTAATTTATCATGGCCAGAATCAAAGATGTTGTTTCCCTAAAATCCTTTGGAATTCAACTTTGTCCTAGTTCTATTTTATCTATTGCTCACAATTCTGTACCTAGAATTATTTCCTTTCTTTCATCAGAGGAAGTAATCCAGCTTGTCACAGGCATTGGAAATCTATGTTAAGAACTTGGTAAGGTATATAGACATGCCATGTGCTGTAGTCAGGTAAGCACTGAGATAAGCCACAGGACACATAGACCTTCTGAGACCTCCCCTAACTATCAATGACCATGGGACAAAGCATCAGTGTGAGTCTAGGCTTCCAAGGTGCTACCCTAGCTTTTACTTGGATTAGTATTAAAAACTTTTTATGCTTTTTATGTGATAAATGAATGGGAAAGCTAATGGGTAGATGACATGGGGCTACTGATGTAGAGTTTACATTTCAGTAATTTGTTCAAAGGTGGTTGCAAAGGAAATACATCAGATGAAAGTAAACACTATCCTGGGCTGAGGGAAAAGGCTGTACCAAGAACTTGTATAGAAGTGTAGCTTTTATAAAAGACTGGAAAAAAGCTATTGTAGGTAGCTAATACAAAGTAAGAATCACAAAGACAAGCTGAAAACTGTGTAGTAGAGCAAAATGCAAAAATCTTTGGATAACTACAGAGAATGTCCATGGTACTAACCTTAAAAGATAAGTTCATTGAGTTGGTAATCTAATTTTCACTTGAGAAATATAATTGACAAATAATTTCAGGAAAGGAATAAATAAAAATTTATCACTGATGTTCAGATAATGTAGATCCTAGGAACTATGAAGAACAGGCAGTGAGAAAAGATCACCACCCAGAAATCATATAATGTTAAAACTTTTAAAATTTATTACTAATTCTTCTTGGTCTTTATTATTATTATCATTATTGTGCTGGATGGGGGTACATTGTAGCATTTACAAAGGTTCTTACAATGTATCAAATATATTATACTTGAATTCCACTGCTCTCTTTCATCCCTTGGTTGTTTTTTTTGTGAGTCACTCAAGAAAGTCTTCCATGACCCATTTACACTCCCCACAGGGAGAGGCAGAAACAAAACTTCTTCTATTTCAAAATCAGGAATTTGCTCATAAATTTTTTGTTTGAATCAAATGCAAATCTATAGGCAAGCCAAAAGTGGCTTGGTCAACTAACCTCCTGAATCAGCTGTCAATCTATTCCCTCAACAGAGGCAAGGAAACATACTCATGGATATCATAATAACTTGTGCAAAGATAAGCAAGAAGTTTTTATAGACACCTCTCTTCAAGACAAGCTAAAGGCCACATGGTACTGAATATTCAAGGAATTGGAAAAGTCCTATGTATATTTAACAAGGGAATTCTGAACTAAAATTGGCAAACAGTAATCCTGATATCCTCCCACAGAAAAGAAAAAAAACACAAACCCAGCTTTAAAGAGCTGACTTCAATTCATGGCTATGCTGTGGCATTAAGAAAGTCACAGAACATCAGAGTTAGTTTCTTTTTCTGCAAAATGGAGATAATAATGCTACTTAATTGAATGGTGTGAGGTTTAAGAAAGCAAATACACATAAATTCTGAACAAAACTTGTACTACATAGAAATGTTTCAATAATTGTTATTAATTTGGGGTTCCAGATTAATTTCTCCAAAAAGTACATTTTTTCTTATAAATACTAAAAATTTGCAGCAGAAATCACTCTGTATCCTACTAATTTAAACCTTAAAAGATAAAAGCCACATATTCTATTTTTCAGTTGTCTGATTAAAAACAAACCAGGATGGCATTCAATTTGGAAGTTGTCAAAAGCACCACCTGTCTTGATTGCTTACAGCTGTCAGAAGCAAATATTAGATCCACCTCTCAAGTTGTTTCTCCAACTGCAGCCTGTATTCTAATTTTATTTTTTTTAAGAAGGGCTCCTTTATTGTAACAGAAAAAACATGTGTGTGTGTGTGTGTGTGTGTGTGTAGAACTTGCTTTGTTACCATGGTCAAATAATAAAACTTCTGTATCTTAATTACAATGTGTAGCTTTCAGCATAAGTGTTGAAACAGAAAATAGGTTTTTTTAATAAAAAGATTGAATTTACCATTTGGAGAAAAAGAAAAAGGGAAATGACTTTATGAAAGAATCATAATTCTAACACCTAATTGCTTTATTTTTTAAGTTCAGTTTATCTATAATGTGTTTGTAAAAATACCACCTTTATCTCTGGGTACCATCAATAATAGGAAAATAGAAATTTTATCAAAGCACTTATTGTCTTAAGTTGCATATAAATCTTATGTGTATGAGTGTATTTTTATACTCTGGTTAGAAAAGAAAATCAAATTCAATTAAGATTTCTACTTTTAATTATTCTAATGCAAAAATGTTCAAAATCATATTTCTAAGTTTAAACTTTAAATGTAATATGTTGAGTTTATCATGGTACCTATCCTTGCAAGTCTTTTAATTTTTACTAAATAAGAGATCAGCCATCATGTTTCATGACCATAGTTATTTATAGAGGTGTGGGTAACAACCATTAACCAGGGTGCCTTTGGTATAGCAAAGAACAGTTTCCACATGCAAATTTTCCCTACCCCAGCGTACAGATCTGGCAGCCTCTCAGCTCCCATATCCTGTACAGAATCACTGAACAAGATAATTACCTGAGTGCATCATTACAAACTGATACATGGACATGCATGTGTCTACCAATTTATATAACTCCTCCCTAGGTAACTCTATTGGAAAATGGTAGCGGTACCTTCAGCAGTGATCTCAGTCATGGTGGTCGTAGAAAGCAAGAGTCAGGTGAAAAGTTCCCGTCAAGTGTCACGTTGCGCAGTACTTTAGGATTTGAGAACTCTGGTAGAGGGTTCTGTGTTAAAATTTGAGGGCTCTTCGGTTTCTGACTGTTTCTGCTGCTTCTTTGTTGTCCTGTTGAACTTTGTCTCTTCTCTGCAGAGTTCTCCCTCTGGGCACAACCTAAGCCCTTTCCAAGCAGCACTTGTGGCTCAGCTAGAAGTATCAGCTTCAAACAAAAATAGCCTCATCTCCCTAGGACTCTTCAGCACTTTTTTTTGGCACTCTAGAGGAACACACACACACACACACCCAACTCTCCAGCCCCAAAGAAATAGGCAAAAAAAAAGCCACAGGAATTAAAAAGTACTGTCTAAGCCCCCACAGCTTCCCGAGATAATTACAGATCTTGTGGTCTGTGTCAGAAAACATGAAATAAAGACTCGAAAGTAATCTTATCCATGATAGCACAGATTTATTCTTAGTGCCCTTAATGCTCAGAACATTCTTCTCTCCTTATTTGGTTTGGGGAGGGTCCTGTAATGTCTACCACAGGCAAAGGGGAGGGCAAAGTTAAGTAATATTTTTAGCATTGATTCCTTATTGGTCCAAATGAACTGATCAAGTACAGTTATTTATATAGGGCTACACTTAAACTTGAAACTATTAAATCCTGAATCTTTCTCCAAAAGTAGTCATGATGTAGGAGATTAATATTTTCTAAACACTAATTAAAAAGGAATGTAACTGTTAAATTAAAACAAGATATTTGAGAACCAATGAAGTATTGAGTGTTTTATTCTATTTAATATATTATAAGAAATAAAATATTTGAGCACATCTATGCAGTAAAAGAAAAGGAAGGTGATGTAGTTTAGAAATGCACAGCTATCATTTCAGCAAAAGATTTCAACTTTTCCCTATCTCAACTTAAAAAAAAATGGAGCAGAACAGCAGCTAACAATTAGCCAAATTGGCTAATTAGCATTTCACCTTCCCAATCCTAGACAAGTGTTAATGAGCAGAGAAATATGCAATAGTTAGTAGTTGGAAGGAGAAGGAGAATCAAAGGGCATTGATAATCATAAACTCTAGCCAATCTCAATAATCAATGGTTGACTCAGCTTACTTTTTATTTCCTTCTCATATTCAACCTAATAAATGCTTATAGTTTCATCTTTAGCCTTAACTTACTGCCTTTGGTTATCAAAACCTCTTAAATTTATATGGTACTTCACAGATCACAGAGCAAATGTATGTGTCATTTTAAAATGTGAGGTTCAGGAAAGTGCTGTTAGTTATTTGCATATACAATAATACCCTCTAAGATATCTGCTGCCTTTATTTGTTGCCCAAACTCCTGGCACAATAGAAAGTGCCCAGACACAAATATTTAGTAAGTATACAAATCAATAAATACCCTTAATTCACAGAGGAAGAAGTAATTCCAGGTAATACTCATGATTTTATACAAGGTACTGTACCTAGGACTGGGCTAGGCACAGGACTGTACCTAGGTTTTGTAGTCTATTGACTACAAGACCAATGCCCTTTCCAAAAAGTGAGACGTTTTTGCAGATATTACTATTTTCAGGTTAAGAGGATGACTGCAAATTGGGTCTACCAACAAGATGGGGAGATGCAAAATCCTAGAAGCAGCCTCCTAGAGCACTGGGTTGAAGGAGGTCCTTACTGTGTCTCCTCCAAAACATTTCATTCTCCATAAACAGCACATTTCTTGAAATTTTAAGAAAATATAGCACTTCATCTGCATTCATCAATCCCTTCAGAGTATTTCACTGTATTTAGCTGAAGAAAAGATATTGTGTGTAACTCATTAAAAATTTTCATGGGTCAAGGCTTAAATAAAATTATCTAATTTAGAAGGAAAAAGTCAATTTCAAACCCTTATTCAATAAAAACTTAAAATGTAACTATAAAACAAAAGAATACTAAATTCCTACAATTCTGTTACTTTTAAGCTCCCAGTTACTAATTTTATGTTTTACAGAATGGAAAGAATAAGAACAGGAAAGCATTATTCTAGACAATCTGGGGTAATGCATTCTTTTAAACCATCTGTGAGATGAGTTGATGAATCTTCTTAACATTGAGAAATTTAGTGTATTTATCATTTTGAAAACTTATTAGAACTCTTTTAACTTCCTTGAAACCCAATTCACAAAGCATATCTTTGAGTTTCAAATGAGACTGTAAAACTTTCAAAAACCAAGCAACTGACTCCCTTCCAAGTGTATACATTCTATTTATCAGAACACTCGAAGAGTAAAGCATTGCAAACCAGTCATTTGCCTTTTTTCATGTTTAAAAGTATTCATCTTAAAGAGATGTTTCCAGTGCACTGACATTTTCCAACATGATTACGAGTGAAGGTTCTTGCTTCTCAGCAATGGCTTCTCTTTTATTCTCACAATAGCAATTATTCTCAGGTGATAAGTTCACCTAGTGGACATAGTTTTGCCTAGAGAAACATTTATGAAAGTAGGCACTAATAATTGGGCCTCATATACATAAGTTAATGATGAACTGTAAAAGTTTGTTCTCCTATTAAATGTTCCATCTAGGCCAACATACCTCTCCAACCTGATTATACTAATCATTGTCCCTTGTGATTTTCACTTGATATTCTAAATACTCAAGTTAGTAGATAAAATTATTCTTCCTTAGAGCAATTTTTAACCTGGCTGCTCTGTCTGCTATTGTCATAAACTAACAATCAGCAAGACATATATAGTATTTGGCTGTAAGATTTTCTCATCCACACTGAGTTTCAAAATGTAAAAAGAGTCAGAAAGCAACCAGAGAAGTTTTGTTGATTTTTTTGTGTCCAAAATTTAAATAAAAGTCAAAAACATTTTGAGAACATAATACACTATCTTGTTCAGTCTCAATTTGTTTCGTTTTTCCTGTGGCATGAGAGAAGAAATATAATTGAGTATAATAGCAATTGACCACCAGCCACCTAATATTTCAAGGTCTGTGAATATTTGAGAGAAAGTCAAGTTTGGGATTATCCTCAAAGTCTTCTTTGTCTTAATGTACACACACTAATAAGATATTACTGTCTTGGTGATAAATGAAACCATATAATAAAAAAATTTGTACAATATAGTACATTAATACATAGTTAAGGATACATGTGGGATATCCAACTGGGGTAAAATAGGTGACCTTTCTTTGAAGCTTAAATTAGTAATTGACATGGCTTCTATGTAAACCTAAATTTTCAGGTTCATTTTCATAGGATGCAAAGATAAACAACAAAATCGAATGATTTTTAAAAGGAGGAACAGAGTGACAATGTAAGAGACTAACAAAATATAAACTACTGTTTCAGTACCTTCACTGAAGTAGTTTACCAGGGGAAATATACAAGGCTTATTTTTAGTTTTGTAAGTGAAGAAAAACTGGCAAAAACAATCTAGATTCAGAAAGAGTAACTATTGGCTTTTTAAACCTTGAGTGAAGAAATATAGGAGAAATTAGTAACACTGGAGATGAACATGGAGGCCACTTGATTGTGTTTGCATTCACTTGACCCTGAAATCCTATCATATGACCTTGAAATTTCTTGGAAGTTGTACTTGATACACCTCTTCTTCAAAAATCAGAAGAAAAACCTCCATTGTTCATTAATCTTACTTCATCTAAGTACTTCTATACGCTTCATTTTAAATTGTTCTGTGTTCTGTTTGTGTCATGGAAAAATCTCATTCTTCTGTCATTATTTTTTCTAAATATCCTGTGCTCATTTCTTTAATCAAAGGTTGGAGGTCATTCCATAGGCTTGGCTTACCATCTGATTATTTAGAAACTATGTAATCCAAATAGCTTCAAATTTCAAAAGGCAGTCCAGGGCAATTAAAAACTTTCCTTTCTTTAACTCTGACTCATGAATAGCTTGGTCTCCAATATCAGGCTTCTTTCCTCACACACATATGACATTGTCAAGCATTCCCCTAGAAATTTGTCTGCGTCAATCTAGTCTTCATTTAACAAAGCCAGGGGTTGCTTCTTCCTTCTTAGCAATTCCATTCTCTGAAGGGCTGGCATGTCTCCATTTCCACTGCCCTTTTTATGAGAATCTGTAATATCCTTCAGTAGGCAGCTCCTGTGGAGCCCATAATTCAGCTTAGTGATTTCTATTCTGCAGCTATCACAGATGACCTTCAGCCCAAATTTCTGGTTGCTATTCAAAAGTAATTTATGATTTACAATTTGTTTCTTTACAAAATCATGAATGCTTTTCTTTTTGAATTTATTTATTGATTTGATTTTTTAACATTTCTTTTTTATTGCTGTGCTGGGAGGGAGTACATTATGGAATTAACAAAAATTCTTACAATATATCAAATATATCGTATTCACCCCCTCTATCATTCTCCTTCATTCACCCCTCCCCTATTCCTAGAACAGTTTCAACAGATATCATTTTTCCATTTACATACATGTGTACACTATTTTTCACCATATTCACCCTCATTTCCCCACCTCCTCCCTCTTCCCACTGTTACCTCACCCCCAGGCAGGTCCTGTTCCACTGTCCTGTTTTCTGATTTTTGTAAAAAAGAAGAAGAAAAAACGGCATTTTTGTTGTTTTAAGATAGCTACACAGGGAGTTTCCTTGTGGCACTTCTATGTTTATATGTGTTATAGCCTGATTTGGCTGATCTCTTCTATTTTTCTTATTTCTACCTTAGTGCCTTTCTTATGGTGGTTTCAACCAGTTTAAAAATTCTATATTCATTCTTATATAGAGAGTACATCAACCATATTCACCTTCTTAACTTCGTTCTGTTACCCTCCTCTCTCGTATTTGACCTCCCTTAGCATGACCTGTTTTCATAGTATTGCTGTATTTGTATTTGTTCTATATGAATGCCTTTTTATACAAAAAAAAACCCTGCTGCCCAATTCTTACTTATAATTTTTTCCTCTTAAATGATTTAAATGAACATTTCCATTTGCTAATATTGAAAAAAATTCACATCATGATGTTTTGTTATCAGCAGTGCAAGCTGTTCTGTTGGTTTGTCATTATTGAAGACCAGCTAAATTCATCAGTCTTGTGAGCTTATTTATCAATAAGGAAATAATTTATAATGATTAATTCTAGTGCTCAATAAATACATATTATCTCTTTGCTGTGGGCACTGAGCAAGATTCTAGAGATACAAAGACAAAAAGCCAAGGATTTTGTGTATAAAGAGCTCAGTTTTATAAGTTAAAAAAAAAAAAAACTAAAGTAGACCAAACATTGTAACATAAAAGCAAGCCATGGAAATTATGCATTTAAAGGGAAAAAAGAAAGAGTTTTCCAGAACAGGACAGACATTTTTTAAAAGGAAATACTAGAGCTGGATGTTCACATGTAAGAAAATGATTATATAAGTAGTTAATTAAGGACTTACTTTCCAAGGTATTAAAAAGGAAAGCTACAGAAAAAGAAACAAGAG